GCATCGGACTCTGTGCCGACAGCTCGGAGCCTGGAGCCTGCTTCGGATTCTGTGTCTCCCTCACTGCCCCTCCCCTGCTCACGCTCTGTCTCTGTCTCTCAAAAATAAACAAATGTTAAAAAAAAATTTAAAGGGGCGCCTGGGTGGCTCAGTCGGTTAAGCGGCTGACTTCGGCTCGGGTCATGATCTCGCGGTCCGTGAGTTCGAGCCCTGCGTCGGGCTCTGTGCTGACGGCTCGGAGCCTGGAGCCTGTTTCGGATTCTGTGTCTCCCTCTCTCTGCCCCTCCCCCATTCATGCTCTGTCTTTCTCTGTCTCAAAGATAAATAAACGTTAAAAAAAATTTTTTTAATTAAAAAAAAATATATAGAAAGCGAGAGAAAAGCACCCCCAGAAGAGCGCCTGCAATCAGACCCACAGCTGACCTCCTCCTGGAGACGTTAGGGACCCGCGGAATCCCAGAGGGAGCCGCAGCCCTTTGGTGTGACCGCGCAGGAGAGGAGAGCGCTCCAGGCTGGCGCCACCCTGCGTCCACAGGCAGCCGAAGACGTTACAAGGAAAACTAGGCACTACGATTCCTCATGAACATTGACAAAAATTCTTAATAAAATATTAAAACACATAAAAAGGAATTTATTTTAGGAATGCAAAATTGATTTGATATTCACAAATCAATTGATATGTTACACGATACTGATAGAACAAAGAACACATGGTCATTTTAATAGATGCAGAAAAATAATCTGACAGAATCCAAATCCATAAGTGATAAAAACTTCCAACTAGGAAGATGTCGGACAGTGAACATCGCATTTCAGTGAAAGACGGTGGATGGCTTTCTCCTTAAGAACAGGAATAAGGCAAACATGTCCACTCTCACCGTTTTTTAGCGCTGTCCTGTCGATTCCTTTTTTTTTTTTTAATGTTTATTTATTTTTGAGAGAGACAGAGACAGAATGCGAGTGGGTTAGGGGCAGAGAGAGAGGGAGACATAGAAGCAGAAGCAGGTTCCAGGCTCCGAGCTGTCAGCACAGAGCCCGGCGCAGGGCTAGAACTCACGAGCTGTGAGATCATGAGTCGAGCCAAAGTCGGACGCTCAACAGACTGAGCCACCCAGGCGCCCCTGTCCTGTCAATTTCAAGCAGCACAACCCGGCAAGAAGGAAATTATGCTTGAATTGGAAAGGAGAAATAAAGCTGTCTCTATTGCAGATGATGTGACCCCGTATTTAGAAAGTTCTAAGGAATACAAAAAAAAAAAAAAAATCAGTAGAAATAAGTAAATGAATTTAATAAGATCTCAGGATATAAAATCAATATTAAAAAAATCAATTGTTTCTATGTACTAGCAATGAACAATTTTAATGAAATTAGGGGAAAAGCTCATTTATGATAGCATTGAAAATAATAAAACACTTAGATTGATTTAACAAAAGCAGCACAAGACTAGTGCTGAGAAAACTGCAGTTCTAAATGGACGGAGGGTGTCCCAGGTTCACGGACTGGGAGACTCGGTTTTGTCAAGATGGCCATTTTCCCAAAATTGATCTACAGACTTGGTGCAATTCTTGTCAAATTCCTAGCAGGATTCTTTGTAAAAATCTGCAAGTTGATCCTAACATTTATGTGAGAAGGCAGAAACTCAGAAGAGCCAAAACAACTTTCTAAAAGAATGGGCAAAATTGGAAGGCACACACTACCTCCATTTCAAAACTTGCTCTCATGGCACAGTGATAAAGGACATGCCAGAGGCATGCGGGTTTGTACACAGAGCAGTGAGATGGAACTGAGGGTCTGGAAGTAAGCCCATACACATATGGACAACTAATTTTTGACAAAGATGTCAGAAACATTCAATATGGAAAGGTTAGTGTTTTCAACAAAAGACACCAAGACAAGCAAATACCCACATGCAAAAAAACCCTAAAAGAACTTAGACCTGTAACCTACATTGCACACACAAGTTAACTCAGAATGCATCACTTAAAAAAAATTTTTTTTTTGAGAGAAACAGACAGAGCAGGGGAGGGGGCACAGAGAGAGAGGCAAACAGAGGATCCGAAGCAGGCTCTGAGCTGACAGCAGAGAGCCCGATGTGGGGCTCGAACACATGAACTGTGAGATCATGACCTGAGCCCAAGTCGGACGTTACCTACTGAGCCAGCCAGACACCCCCTTTTTTTAATGTTTTATTTATTTTTGAGAGAGAGAGAGAGAGAGAGAGAGCATGAGGAGGTGGTGGGCAGAGAGAGAAGCGGACAGAGGATCCGAAGGGGGCTCTGAGCTGGCAGCACAAAGCCCAATGCGGGGTTCAAATTTATGAACCATGAGATCATGACCTGAGCCGAGGTGGGTGCTCAATCGACTGAGCCACCCAGCCGCCCCCAAAATGCATCATTCCTTTTTTTTAATTTTTAAAAAATGTTTATTTTTGAGACAGTGTGTGAACAGGGGAGGGGACAAGAGAGAGGGAGACACAGAATCGGAAGCAGGCTCCAGGCTCCAAGCTGTCAGCACAGCTTGAACTCACGAACTGCGAGATCATGACCTGAACCAAAGTCAGAGCCTAACAGACTGAGCCACCCAGGTGCCCCAAAACATCATTCTTAAATGTAAAAGCTACAATTATAAAACCTCTAGAAGAAAAAAATGAAAAAATTATCATTGCCTTGGGTTAGGTAAACAGTTCCTAAGTATAGCACCAAAAGCGTGGTACCAAAAAAAAAAAAAAAAAAAAAAAAAGGATACATTGGACTTCATCAAATTTACAAACTTTTGCACTTCCAAAGATACCATCAAGAAAGAGAAAAGAGGGGCGCCTGGGTGGCTCAGTCGGTTGAGCATCCGACTTCAGCTCAGATCACGATCTCACGGTCCATGAGTTCGAGCCCCACGTCGGGCTCTGGGCTGATGGCTCAGAGCCTGGAGCCTGCTTCCGATTCTGTGTCTCCCTCTCTCTCTGCCCCTCCCCCGTTCATGCTCTGTCTCTGTCTCAAAAAGTAAATAAACGTTAAAAAAATTAAAAAAAAAAAAAAGGAAAGAGAAAAGACAAGTCAGAGACAGAGAGACACTGTTTGTAAATCATATATTTGATAAGGGACTTGTGTCCAGAATATATAAAGAGTTCTTAGAAGTCAATAATAAGACTAACAACCCAACTGAAAAGCATTAGGAACATTTGAACGGGTATTTCACATAAGCTATGTAAGTGGCTAATAAATCCATAAAGAAATGCTTGGTTAGTGTCATTAGTTATTAGGGATTCAGGTTCACAACATAGTGAGATATCACTCCATGTCCTAGGTCAGTGCTAGGGACAGAATTGTTCCTCTCAAAATTTCTTATGTTGAAATTCTAACCCTCAGCACCTTGGAGTGTGGCTGTATTTGGATATGGGATCTTTGAAGAGATAATTGAGTTAAAATGAGGTCATATGGGGAGTTCAGTGTGGCTGGCTCAGTCAGTGGAGCATGTGGCTTTTGATATTGGGGTCGTGAGTTCGAGCCCCGAGTTGGGTATAGAAATTAAATAAACTAGGGGCGCCTGGGTGGCGCAGTCGGTTAAGCGTCCGACTTCAGCCAGGTCACGATCTCGCGGTCCGGGAGTTCGAGCCCCGCGTCAGGCTCTGGGCTGATGGCTCAGAGCCTGGAGCCTGTTTCCGATTCTGTGTCTCCCTCTCTCTCTGCCCCTCCCCCGTTCATGCTCTGTCTCTCTCTGTCCCAAAAATAAATAAACGTTGAAAAAAAATTTTTATAAAAAAAAAAAGAAAAGAAATTAAATAAACTAAAACAAACAAACAAACAAACAAAAAACCCCAAAACAAACAAACAAACAAAACCAAGGTCATATGGGTGGGCCTAATCCATTCTGACTGGTGTCCTAAGAAAAGGGAGTGAGGACACAGACACACATAGAGGGCCGACCATCGGAAGACACGAGCCAAGGACAGAAGCCTCAGAGGAGGCCAACCGTACCCACACCTCGATATCAGGAACTAAATCCGACGTGTAGCCACCCAGCCCATGGTGCTTTGTCACAGCGGCCCTAACTGACCCATGCAGATGGCTGTTATAAAGACAGGCAGCAACAAGTGTTGATGACGAGGGGGAGACTGGAGCCCTCATACTTTGCTTGCGGGAGTGTAAAATGGTGCAGGCCCTCTGGAAAAGTTTAGCATTTTCTTAAGTTAAATGTAAACTACCACCTGACCTAGCAGTCCCACTCTCAGGTGCCTACCCAGGAGAAGTGAAGGCCTCTGTCCACACGAAGACACATAAGAAAACGTTCACGGCAGCGTTGTCAACAACAGGCAGAACTGGAAACAGTCCGGATGCCCATCGGTGGATAAAACGGGCCCATCCATACCACGGGGTACTATTCAACAGCAAAAGGGGATGAATCACTGACACCTGCTGGTTTCCTTGCCCTCTTACACCAGCTGGGAGCCAGGATGCGCGGCCTGACCCCAGCCAGGGGGTCCCGTCCCCCACAGCGCCCGGCCAGACCCCAGCCAGAGGGCCCCGTCCCCCACAGCGCCCGGCCTGACCCCAGCCAGGGGAGCCACAGCACCCGGTCGCTGCGCAGACGCCTACTGAGCACTTTCTCTGGGCTGCGGCACAGCAGTGACCGAGGGTGACAGGAGGGTCCCTAGGAAAGCCGACAGCCCAGGGGTTTTAGGCAGGAAGACACGAGGAGGTTCTGCTCCGGGGACGTGGAGGCCAAACCAGCCGCGCCTGAACACAGCCGGCCGAGGGCACCAAGACGGCGAGTGTGAGCACTGACCAGGGTGGTGGGGCAGGGCCTGGACACCCTCGGGCGAGGAGCAGCCAGGGCTCGGCCCGCCAGGGTGCCTACCCCCCTGCAGCAAGGTGGTGTGAGTGTGTGAGGTGTGTGTGTAAGGCTATGGGGGAGCCGAGGCCCAGCTTCGATGGGGGGGCACCGTGGGAGGGGAGCGGCTGCAGCAGACGCAAGTACTCCCTCCACCAGCGTCGCCCAGGCAACAGCAGCCTCGGTCTCGGCTCGGCCCCTCCCCCGCCCCGCCCCGGCTGCGAAGCGTCTGGAACCGCGTCCTTCCTCCGCACCCTCGTCCTGCGACCGCGTCCTGCAGCAGCTGCCCGTCGGAGCCGCCTGTGAGCCATTTCCCCATTTCTCCTGGTGGAGCGGGGGGAGGGGGGGCGAGTGTGCACGGGGCAGTGTGCACGGGTGTGTGAGGTACGTGTGCAGGCGCGTGTGCAAGGTGCGTGTGCAGGGGTGGGAGAGTGTTGGGGGGGGGGCACTGCGGCTGAGCCGATGGCGGCCAGGCCGAACCGGGGTCTTCCTTTGGGGTCTCTGCTGACGGAGCGGGGGTGCTGACCCCAGGCCTCCCAGAGGATCGGGGGCCTCCGCGGGGTGAGCCGCTGCCTGGACCTTCCAGAAGAACCCTAGGTGTCCAGCCTTGCAGAGACCCGACGTGCTGCCCGGATCCCCCACCCTCAGCAGAGCAGGGCAGCTGGGTGGGGGTCGTGCTGGTGACCGCAGCCCCTCTTCCCTGCAGATCTGAGAGAGCCATTGGGAGCTGGGCGTCCCCTGGGTAGGGAGGGGGCGCCAGTTGCGTCTGAGGGTGGGGGAGAGCAGGGGGGTGGGAGAAGCAGCGAGGTGGAAGGCGTCAGACGAACCAGACCCCGGGGAAGCGCTGCTGGCATAGAGAGCGGGGTGGCTGTGGCGGGGGCAGGCGCGGGGAGGGGTATCTTTCCAGAACCACCTGCCGCAGACCCAGGACGCGGGGCCACAGGTGGCTGCGATGCGGGACCAAAGCACCGCTGGGTGCGGACGTAGCTTCCCCCAACTCGGGCCTCGCGGGGCGGGGCTGGGGCCTGCAGTCCACAGACCCTTAGACCAAAAGCCAAGCCCACGACCCGCCTGCAGGGCATCTGGTGGGGCTGCGGCTAGGGCAGGGGCGGGGGGCGGAGGGCCGTGCGGAGCGCGCAGCGCCCTGCGCCCAGCAGTCACATGCGCGGCCGCCACGCGCAGCACGCTCGTGCCCAGCCCGTACAAGCGCGCGCCCCGGCGCCCCGGCGCGCACCTCTACTCGTGACGCAGCACACCGCGGGGGGCGGGGGAAGTGGGGGCGCCAAGGCGAGTCTGTGACGCACGGATCTGCCGCCCGGCTTCGGTCGGGTTTTCAGCCGAGGGCCCCTGCCCTGCCTGGCCGTCCGCGTGTCCGTCCACCCGCACGGCTCATCCGGTGCCCCTTCCCCGAACGTCGGAGAGGAGCGTGCACGGCCCCCATCCAGGAGGGCACAGCGGGGGGGGGGGGAGCGGATGAGCTGCTGGAGAAGACGCAGTTACGGCGCAGGGTGGAGTGAGGGGGGCAGTGGGAGCAGCAGGGGCGACCCCCCAATTCCACGGAGTTCTGTGTCTGTCGTGTGAATGAGCCCAGCCAGCCTTCCCAGAGGGTCCCCAGGTCTCAGCGAGGGAAATAAATGTTCGGGGGGAGGGGGTCCCACATGCAGCCCAGCCCCCCCCCCCAGCATTACGCCTGGTGGGAGGGGCACGGAACCAGAAGCGGAGGGTCCAGAAGGTCCCAAATGGCTCCTTTCCTTCGTGAAGACTTGTCGTCGCCAGCCTCCGTTGCCATGGAAACCCGCGATGACGTAACCTGGATGTCACACCGCGTCGGAGGAGTTGGAGCTTAGGTTTGGCTCCAAGAGGACCCCAGAGGCGGAACCCCTTATAGGGAGAGGCTTCCTGTGGGGAGACTGTGCAGACCCCGCACACACCCGGCCTTCCAGCGGGGGTGGCCAACCACAGATTGACGGGAGTGCGGGAGGCGACACACTGTGCCCCTCCGCGCTCTCCTCTGTAAATCGAAGGCTGATGGGGGGGGGGGGGGGGGGGGGGGGGGGCTCCGCTGCTAGAAGGCCCAGGCACACCCTTCCCGCCCCCACGAAGCTCCCCTCAAGCCCTGAGCTCTTGTTGCCCCCCCCTCCCCTCGCCCCCCCCCTCCCTCCCCCCCGCTCTCCTGTCAGTCCCTCCCTCCGTGGCCCCTTCCCAGCGCTTTGGAGCCACATTTCCTTCCTAGCACTGGAAAGCCCGACATCTCTGTTTCTATTCGGGTGGTCCCTTCTCCATCTCTGCCTCACCGAGCACGGACGGACGTGGTCTGCGTGGTCCTCGTGCAGACTAACCAATTGGTGCAAATGTGCCCCAGGCGGATCCCCTGCCAAGCCAGACTGTCCTCAGGAAAAGCCCTCCAGCAGGGGGTGGGAGTGGGGGGCGCTTTGCCGTCCTGTAAGGGCGCCCGGGCCAGGCTCGTAAACCCAAGGAGGAGCCCCAGCTCAGGGCCCTAGTAGGACCTCCCTCCCCGGGGCGCCCGGGAAGTCCACGATGGGGGCGCTCCTGTCTTGCCCGGCCGGCTGCTTCTCTCGCCAGCCCCACAGAGCTGCTTCCTGGCCACGCCTCCCCCGGTCCTACACAGCCCCGGCCCCCTGCCCAGCACCTCGCAGGTTCTCCATCCTGGGCATCTCTCCGCCTCTCTGCCTCTGGGTAGGGGCTCCTCCTCTATATTCCCACCCTGACTGCTCACATCCAGAACCCACAGCAAGGCCTGCCTGGCCTCTGGGGTGTGAGACTGGCACCTGTGAGCCTGATGGGCACCTGCGCTGGTGGGGCTGTTCCAGGGAGACGCATTTGGGGGTGGTGAAGTCACCCTAGGACAGAAGTTTGGGGTTGCAGAGGCACGGCAGTGTGTGTAGGGTGGGTGCTGGCCTTGGCGAGGGAGGGCCCCATGCAGTGGCCAGGGTAGGAAGCACAGCCCCTGGGGCTCTGCCCTTCGTCCTCACAAGGAAGAGGGTGGGGAGAGACCCAGGGCACAGTTGCCAAGGAACTCACCCTGTCTGCTCAGCGGAACCCCAGGGTCCACATCCTGGGGGAGGGCATGGGGTGGCCGTGCCTCTGCCATCACAAGAGGTCATAAAACAAACGTGCAGCCTAATAACGTAACAGAAGGGCACCCCAGCCATCCACCATCCAAGCAAAGACTAGAAATCCCAACCCAGCCCCGACGCAGCTCCCCTCCCCGACGGGCACCGCCTCTCAGACTCTCCAGACACAGGAGCAACGATTGGTCCGGACCCCCAGAGTGCGTGTCTAAATGCCGCCGATTGGTTCCTAAAGGTTGCAGTTGGAGTTCTCTTACTATCGAACCTTCCTTTGCGCCCGGCTTCTTTTGGCCACCGTTGTTTTGTGGGACTCAGGGCTGCTCTTGTGTGAAGCTGTGACCGGTCACTTCCGTTGCTCCAAGGACTCCGTGGTAGGAACACCCCCATTTATTTACTTGTGTCACTCTGGGTGATGTGTGGTGCTGTGTGCACATTCACGCCCACCCGTCCTTCTGCTGGGTGTCCACGCTGGAGTGAGGGCTGCTCGGCGTCGGACGTTGAGTGGATTACGTGAGCGGACGCCACCCATGTGGCATCTCTCCTGCGTCCTGACAGGCTTCAGTGTGTCCCCTTAAGCTGGTTCTAATTTATCTCCCTCGGGGACTAGTGAGGGTGAGCACCTTTTTAGTATTCGTGGCCATTGAAATCTTTTTCTGTCCATTTTTCTATTGGGTTTATCTTTTTCTTTACCAACTTGAGATGTCCGTTTTATATTTTGGTATCTGCCCTGCATTGGCTTCCTCAGGCCACTGTGGCAAATTACCACAAGCAGGTGGCTTAAGACAACAGACATGTATTTTTCCATCGGCTCTGGAGACGAGAAGTCGGAAATGAAGGTTGGGGCAGGGCCGTGATCCCTTTGAGGCTCTAGGGAAGATCCTTCCTGCCTCTCCTTGCTTCGGGCCGCCCCATGTGTTCCTGGGCCTGTGAATGCATCCCTCCAACCTTCTCATCTGGGCCTGAGCATCTCCCCGTGTGCGTCCACATTTCTCCCTTCTGTAAGGACACCAGTCATTGGCTTAGGGCCCCTGCAGTCCGGTATGAGGTCATCTTAGTTACATCTGCAGAGACCCTGTTTGCTAGTGAGGTTACGTTCACGGGTGCCAGGGGTTAGGGTTTGAACGTACCTTGTTGACGAGCCCCCAAGTCCTTTGCCAGTTGCATATCGCAAACATCTTCTCCCAGTCGTGCTTTCTGTTTCCATTCTTTGAAGCTGCGTTTTAATAAGCAGAAGTTCTTAAATTGAATGTAGCCCTTTGATGGTTAGTGCTTACTTGTCATACTGAAGAACTCTTTCCCTCCCCCAGACCAGGAAAACATTCTCCTGTAGTGTCTTCCAGACGCTTTCCCAACTTAGCTACATCCACATGGAGTAGATTTGTGTGTGTGAGGTGGGGTTTCGGTGCCTTGCTCTCCGTGTGGACACATGTTTATCGAAAGGCGGCATCTCTGTCATAAATCTGTGGTCCGTGTGCACAGGCGTGTGTATACCACGCATCTGTACCACAAGGCTGCGCGACTGGCTGCACCTGGCGGACGAATCCTACCCCTCGGTCATTTTCAAGGGGTCACGTGTTCTTGTCCCCTTGGTTTTTATATAAAATTACGATGCCGGGCATGTTCACACACAAAAGAATTCTTTTGGGCTGTGGGTTGGGTGTATTGATCCTACAGATACGTTTTGGGGGAAATGATATTTTTAAACATAGAACCTTCCCAAATCCATGACCATTCCCTACCCCACTTACTGAAAGAATTTAGGTCTCCTTCAGTGTCAGTAATGTTTTGATTGAGGTTTTCCATGATTTTCTCATTGAGTCTGGTCCTGAGTGTTTAATATTTCCAGTGCCGCTTAAGTAGAATCTTTGAAAAGCTTATTTCCTAATCTGTTGTCACTAATGACCCCTGAATACCTTGGATGACCCTGCTGGCCTCACTCTTCAGCCTTTGCCACTGATCTGTAGAGTGTCGTGGGTGTTCTGCACATACACGGTGCTTCATCTGTGAGCAACGAGAGTTTGGCCTGATCTCGTCCAGGCCTGTTTTCTCTCATTCGCTTTCCCTGCCCGACAGCTGGCTAAAGCCTCCTGCACTGTGATTTATGGAAGTGATAATAGCAGGCCTTGACATCTCCTTCCTCACCTGAAAGGCAACGCTTTCACTGTTTACACCATATAAGGACAGCTTAGAGGTTTTTGTAGATAACCTTTATCATCAGATTAAGGAAGTTTCCTTCTGCCCTTGAAGTGCTAATAGATAATTAAAATAATAAATGTTGAATTTTATCAAATACTTCTCCAGGTATTATTGAAGTTAATCAGGTGATCTTTCTTCTGTATTCCTTATGGTGAAAAGACTGATCACTTTTTTAAACAAATATTTATTTTGAGAGAGAGGGGCAGAGAGAGAATCTCAACAGGCTCTGAGCTGTCAGTGCAGAGCCCGGCGTGGGGCTCGAACTCACGAACTGTGAGATCATGACCTAAGCCAACGTGGGACGCTTAACTGACTGAGCCCCCCAGGCGGCCCTTCCTTTCTTTGTTCTTATTTATCGGTCAGCCTAGAGGTAAAATCGTCTTGAGCTCCCGAGAGGGGGGTGGAGGGGGTGGGGGGGGGCTGTGCACTCCTCCAGGCACCTCCGCTGTCCTCGGCTGGTCCTCTGTCTCTCGTCAGGGTATTCCAGCCCTACTACTGTGCTCTGTGCAGTTAGCATTTGGATCTTCTCACTGATGTCCTTTCTGTACCTCTTCCTTACTTCCTGCATCTCCAGGAGATTTGTCAGATAGAACACAGGACGCCCAGCTAAACTCGAATTTCAGACAGATAACTTTTTGATACGTCCTATTTTGCATATTACATGGGACATAGACGTCAAAAAACTTCCATTGCTTATCTGAAATTCAGATTTAACCAAGTGTCCTATATTTTTATTTGCACAGTCTGGCCACCCTACTCTCCAGCCTTCTATCTGGGATCATTTTCTGTTGAGCACATAGCTGCCCTTGGAATGTGCTAGCAGGTTGGCTAGCTGCCGGCTCTGCCGGTGTTGTGTGTCTGGACACTCCCTGGTCAGAGGCAGCACCCCTTGCATGGCTCTGGGACCCAAAGGGAGACCAGAGGGCAGGAAGGGACTAGAAGCCTATGGACGAACACACCCACTTTGTCCTGGGAGATTGGCTTGTCCCGGCCCAGGTGTGAGGAACACCGGGGTCAGCTGGGGCCCTCTGGCTCCTGCAGCAGCCGGCATGGACGTCTGCTGGGTGCTGAGTGGCCAGTAACCTTGTGTCTACTCTGCGCAGGACGAGGACCACCCATCACCATGGTGAAGCTGGGCTGCAGCTTCTCCGGGAAGCCGGGCAAGGACCCCGGGGACCAGGATGGGGCTACCACGGACAGCGTCCCTCTGATCAGCCCCCTGGACGTCAGCCAGCTCCAGCCACCATTCCCGGACCAGGTGAGGGCCTAGACCAGCATGAGGGGGTGAGGGGCTCTTCTCAGCCTGCCCTGTGCATAGAGGGCAGTGGGGTGAGTTTTATGCAGATGTGGCCTCCCCCAACGTGCAGGAGAGCCAGCAGAGGTAGAGCCGGGCTGGACCAAAGCCCTAGTCGGCTATGGGTGATCCATGTGACCTGATCAGCTCTCTGGTCACCCAGAGTCACCCTTTCCTCATCCGTGAACGGGGGTCACTGTGAGGACTCCTACAACATCTTGCAGACAGTGCCCAGCCCACGGTGCTGCCCACAGGCGCTCAGCAAGCAAACAATTCCCATCCTTCCCTGAGGGCCTGAAACAGGGTCCCGGGGCAGGTGACCGATGGGGACCCGCTGTCAGGAGGGATGTGTGAGAAGCAGGGCTCGGCTCTAGCGTAGCCCTGCCTGACCCCACACGAGCTGACTGGCATCAGGACTTGTCCCAGCAGGAGGGAGGGGGCAGGCAGCTGAAAGCTTTTGTCTGGGGGCCATGGGGGTGGGAGCACCTCCCAGTGATCTGGGGGGGGGCAGCAGCCGAGTCCGCCACAGGTCTGGATCTGGCTCTCAGTAGACACGTGGGGAGGCTCAGTGCTCACCCCTTGGGAGCATTCACAAAGCACAGGACTATTTGCCTGTGCCCCAGGTGGTAGGGGCCTCAAGACTCTGGGAGCCAGAGGAGAAGTCAGGGTGGACTTCCCGGAGGCAGGAGCCAAGCTGTGGAGCACCTAAAAGGGTAGCTCCTGGCCTGGCAGGGAGAGCTGACTGCAGCCCCCAGACTAAGGGGCTCCCTGTGTGGTGTGGACAGGCCCCAGGGCCGCCCGGCCCAGCAGGCTCTCTGCCTCCACCTTCCGTTGGCCTCAGCTTGTAGCCAGTGGAGCCACTAGGCAGTCCTGGCAGATGGCCAGCACCCACACCACTGCCGGGGAGCTGACCCCTGGGCCTGCCCCCGCCAGTCCTCCCGGTTCAGGGTCCTCCTGGGCCATCTCTTTCCACAGGTGGTTATCAAGACACAGACAGAATACCAGCTGTCCCCCCCGGACCAGCCAAAGAAGTTCCCCGACCTGGAGGCCCAGAAGCTGGCCTGTAACCACCCTGAGGAAGGACGCAGGGTAACCCAACCCTCCTGGGCCCATGGTGCCCAGCGGTCAGTTCCATGGGGAGTCAGGGCAGGGGAGATGGCGAGGAGGAGGCTGCAGGCCATGGGGGGCCACGTCTGGGCCAGGTTGGCCGGGACCTCTTGCTCACTCGCCTGCTCTCAGGAAGAGAGAGGGACAGGACACCACCCCGTTCAGAGGCCTTCATCCTGCTATAAAGTGGATGAGAACAGCATCTGCCTTCAGAGGGGCTCCTGCCTTGAGCCGCCCTGGGCCCCACCTGCTCCTGCTGTGTGTCCGTTTTCCCTTAGTGACCCCTGGGTTTTCTAGGTACTATGGAAAGTCACTTATGCTATATATCTGGCTAATATTTTCACCCTTCCTGTTTTTTTAGCTCTTAAGTTCACTAAATGGTTTTGGGTTTTTTTTTTTAAATCAGTTTTTGCACACCATTTCTAAAACCCTTTATTTTTCATTAGTGACACCTGTCATCTCCTTTCCTCCGTTGTTTCTGAGAGAAAAGCCAAACAGAAGCCAGCGGGGCTGTGTGAGGACCGCCCTGGTCCTTCCAACAGCTTCACACCCCCCTCCTCGGGTCTCTCTCCTTCCCGCAGCTGCCCACAGCGCGGATGATCGCCTTTGCCATGGCGCTCCTGGGCTGTGTCCTCATCATGTACAAGGCCATCTGGTATGACCAGTTCACCTGCCCCGACGGCTTCCTGCTCCGGGTAAGGCCTGGCCAGCTGGGTGTACGGGGTCGGGGTGAGGCAGGCAGTCGCGACCTTACTCCGCTCGGGCGGGGGCGGGGAGGGGGGGTGTCCCTGTGGAAGCACTGAGGTGGGCTGCCTCCCCTCCGCTTCTCGGACCACGCCCAGGGAAGACCCCTGCGGCCCGCCCTGATCCGCCCCCCCCCCCCCCCCAGCCCAAGATCTGCACCCCGCTGACCCTGGAGATGTACTACACCGAGATGGACCCCGAGCGCCACCGCAGCATCCTGGCGGCCATCGGGGCCTACCCGCTGAGCCGCAAGCACGGCACGGAGACGCCCTCGGCCTGGGGGGAGGGCTACCGCGCCGTCAAGGAGGGACCCAAGGCGCCCACCCAGGCGGGGGCGGCGGCGGCGGCGGCGGCGGCCACCGAGCCCCCCGGGAAGCCCTCCGCGCCGGGAGAGAAAGAGGCGGCGCGGAAGGCGGCAGGCAGCGCCCCGCCCCCGGCCCCCCAGTGATGGCCCCTCCGCACCTGCAGCCCGGGTAGGTGTGCTCAGGCGGCATGGGGGTCGTGGGCAGGGCGGGGGTCCGGTGAGCTGGAAGCCGGGGGACGGGGTTCAGCCTGGCACCTCTTCCCACGCAGGTGGGCGGCGAGGGGGGACGCGGGCCCACCTCGCAGCGCCGGCTCTCGCCCCTGCTTCCCTCTGTCTTGGCAGCGCCCCCTGCCGGCACCTGTGACCGCCCTCGCCCGACGCTCTCCCATCTCGTGGTCGTGCCCCTGCTTCCAGGACCCTTCGCTGACGCCCCCTGCCCCCGAGCTTGCAGCTCTGTTGCTTTTCTCTAAGTAAAGATTCATATCCACCTGGGCCTCTGTTTCTCCTGAGCCTCCTTGGTCCCGCTGACCTTTTCCCTGCCTTCCCAACCCCCGCCTGGGTGAGCGCCCGCTTCGGGTCTCCTCTGCTGCCCTGAGGGAGCCCCGAAGGATCCGGAAGAGCAGCAGCCACCGTGGGGGTGGGGGTGGGGGCAGTGAGGCAGCCCCGGGAAGCCGCGGCCACGCAGGGAGAGGGGGAAGGCCAGCGCCCGGCGTGCACAGGCCCAGCGCTGCCGGGCTGCAAAGGAGTAAGTTCGCCTCTATCCAGGGCTGGGCTCCAGCCCTGACTGCTGCTTAGCCCTACATCCAGTGAGGCCCTTCCGCCTCCTACTGCCGGGCCTGGTCCTCACACACCTAACCCGTCGCCGGGAGCCTCTGAATCCCCCTGTTCTGGGCAAGCGCCCACATGTGGTTCCTGCCCCAACCGCCTCACACAGGCACAAGTCACTGAAGAAATGAGCAAATGCATGGTTCCAAGGGGCCCGGGCCTCTGGAGAGGGGATGTGAGCCCATCCCTGTCTGAAAGGGGTCCCCACTCCTGGAGCACCCCTATCTCCCATTCCCTTGGAGCTAGAGGGGTGGTGGGAGGTCTGAGGATGTTGGAGCTGGCAAGAGTCTCTTCACCCAGCCCACAGCACCCCCCCCCCCCCCCACTACAGCACTTCGAGGCCTCAGGTCTGTTCCCACCGGGTGAGAGGTAAGCTCGGGCCCTAGTACCAAGGGCTGGGGTTGGAGAGAACAACCTTGCAGGCTCATGCAGCCAGAACTAGGAAGGAAACAGGCATTTTCTGCACTGAGCAGTGTCAGGTGACATGGGGGGGGGCCCTTTTTGGCCCTAGTGCAGTCCTGTGAGGGGACACAAGGCTGGGCACTCAGACTGAGTGTGGGACTCTGACCTCCAGCCTCCAGCCCAGGGAGGCAAGGTGAGGGGTCTGAGTGGCTTTGGACAGCAGGCAGTGACCAGGAAGTGGATGAGACAGGTGTTTGAAGGAAACCATGGACATGCTGGAGGCCGGGGGCGGGGGGGGGCTTCTTCACATCAGCCCCTTCCCTGGGTGGGCGGGGCTCAATCTCACGACTCTGGGATCATGACTTGTCCCAAAATCAAGAGTCAGACCTTTAGCTGACTGAGCCACCCAGGCGCCCCTCCATTGACAATTCTTGTCTGAATCAATACTACTATATTTTCCAAGTGGCAATTATCTAAATTCAGCACTTTTCCTACATTTAGTGGTTGACATTCTATTGGCTTACTGTAAAGAAAAGAGTTCCCTTGCCCCCCTTTCCTCATTTATTTACATCAGTGTGACCCATACTCTCCCGTTTTATTCAACAGGCGACAATCTGTTACCACCACTATTAATTCTTATGTTCACATGTTTCATTCCTGGCTGGTGGAAGGCATCCTATTGACGTGCCCTCATCAGTCTCGGGGCGCTTCCTAGCTTTCTGGAGCAAAGATGCTCCAGGCCCCTCTTGTGCTAGCTACCAAGATCTGGGTGTGGTTGTGGGTGTGGCTTCAGGCACATTCAGTGGAGAGAGCCGGGGTGTGATACATACATGCACACATTCATCCGCACACAGTCCGTATTTCCCTCCTCCCTGTGAGTGCACGTATACACCTGTGCACATGTGTGCAAGTGTCTACACCTGTACAGACACAACCCACATTTAATCAATACAATATATCCATACATCTATGGACTATGAGTGCACATACGACATACATGAATCTCCAGGAGTTCATACCGATACTTCTAATCCCAACCCAGAACCTCAGGGTTTATTCTAGTTCCCCCTTTCCTTGCTGATACCTCCATCCTCCAACAGGGAGAAACCTGGTTCCTGTTTTCCTCAATATACTCATTTGCTTAGTCTTAGAACACACTGGAATCCTTTTCAGAAGTGGTAACCATACCATGGCACAAGAAAGCGTGCAAACTAGAGTCTGGTGCTCGTTTAGAGTTCTGTCTTTAACTTGGGGATTCATAGTCAAAATGCTGTGTTCAGGTTACGCGGTTTCTTCTTCACATCAGTGTGGCTGTGTTACTCCTCTGAAATATAGCGGAATCGCTTAGTACTGCTAGCACTGTTTCAGGGTCCTCCTCCCATTTGGTTGATTTTGTCCTATTATTTTTAGCATGTAAAACGTGAACACGGCTCCAAACGGTGTGTCCCACCCCCAAGGGAGATCAGTCTTCGTTACCAGCTCAGCCTGTCTGTGCATCTTTTTGCACAGATGCACCTGCACTTTATTTTTCCTATTTGACACTTTTCACTATAAGGATTTCTTTTCCCCACACAAACAACAATCAAATCTCCAGTCCCCCAGTACCAGCCAGGTGTCCTACAATTCAGTGCTATGACACCTGTTCCTCAGCGCCGGCACAGACCCCACAACTGAAGAGAGCCTGCTCCCGATTCCGACGCTGGCCACAAGTATCGGGGCCTCAGGCCATATGCATTTCTCTCCAACTCAGCTACCAATTTGGGGACCCCCTCTTCAGATTTGATAACTCAGTATAACTACTCACAGAACTCAGGAAAGCACCTGCTAGATTACTGGCTTATTATAAAGCGTACAAATCAGGGACAGCTGGACAGAAGAGGCATAAGGCCAGGGGTGGGCCTAGGAGCAGGGAACTTTCCTGCACCTGGGTGTTCAATCTGGAAGCCCTGGGAATCTCCTTGCTCTAACTAGTGCTCGGCGCCTTCCCTGTCACGCAGGAAATGCCGAGGGTCTCAGGAGCTCTACACCGGGACCCAGGACAAAGGACAAACACATGCTTCATCCGAGCACATTCACCTAACAAACACAGAAGGTCATGCCACATGGTGCTCATGCATTGTCCTCGTCCCTGTCCCAGCTGCGGGCTGCTCCGCCACACAGGGCTCTTTACCGGGTTTACGGTACTTTGCCGCAATGAATAATTTACGCGTGTGCGGCTTGTGTTGTGGGGAACTTATCTTCAAAGCAAATTCCTACCAGTGGTCTTGGTGGGTTAAATTTTTTTATTTTATAAAATTATAACATTTTATAATTTATACTTATAAACTTAAACCAGTGTCAGGGACATGAATTCCCGTCTTCTAGCTGGAGTAAGACAGATTAACAGGAGGAAATCAAACTTAACGATGTACCAACAGGAAATCCACATAGACCTGGAAATTCCAAAGACAGGCGAAAGGAGGTACACATGTCGTCCTGAACCCAGGAGAAGGGGGTGGGGGTCCGGGACGTCAGAGGAGGGAATGCACTTCACAGCGAGATAAGAGAAACAGATGTTGGTAATTAGACGTTTGCCCCACCAGACAGATGAGTCACTCCGACAGAATGTATCTCGGTTAATAACCCTTATTCTGGGAAAGACACCCCGCCCCCGTTTAGATTCCTGCATGTGGTTAAGGGAAGGACAAAAGTTTCTCTTGAGCCCACAGGGTCTCAAGTGCCTTCAGCTCAAAACCATCCACAAGCCAACGTGGCACATTCTGGAGAGGTCTGTCCTGAACCTCCCCAGCTCTCCCAAGCTTTAAAGCTCCATTTAAAAGCTTGCTTTCAAATGTAGTAACTTTTATGTGTCTCTTCACTCATTCTTTAATTTTCTTTTAACTTATATATTTGATATATAGTCAGTCTCTAATTTTTAAAGACATTTCACAAACGTGATAAACTTAATTAGATGCCCTGGGTATTTCAAGCTCTAACCATAAATCGATACAACTGATTCCAACCTACAAACAAAACCTTTACGAACATTTGTTCACTACTCACCATCTAATACAACGGAGTCAGAGTCAATCAGATCTTAAACTGGAATTCTCTCACACGTTCTAAAACGAAAACCTTAGGTTACTGAGATTAACTTTCAACCCTTCAAATTAAAACAAGTCGTTTATGCTACGTGAGCAACGAGCACAACTTCACGCCTTGATGTGCCCCAGGACCTCTGGGCAAACCCAGCGGGGGTTGCAGGAGCCGCTCCGCACCCTCCCGGCATCTGTGTGCACAACTGCCCAGAGCACCCCATTCTCCCCAGGAGGCTCCGTGACAGGGTGTGCAGGCCCCTGCCAGGCCCCCTGCAGCGGGCCCAGCTCCTGTCTCAGGGTCCCACACATCCTCTGGGTGTCCTTTCAACTTTGTTCTTACCCAGATTTTACAGAAACCTCTTGCAAAAACCCTTTCCCAAGCTGGCCGCCTGGAGTGGGACCGCAGGCTGGCTCACTTCAGGTGGGCCTGGCCTTCAGGGGTGCCCAGGACATACCCCCCAGAACCCTCTGCCAGGTTCGCCACCTGCTCACCGTCCCGTCCTAGGCTCTGCCCTCGGGGAGCCAATGCGGACACCCTCTGCACTTTGTTCACCCGTGGGTCTTGTCCACGGCGTGTGGTGCCAGTATTGGGGAGGCTCGAACGCACAGCCCGGAAGGTCCTTCGTGAAGAAACTAAAAGAGGCTTTGTTGATAGTGTCAGATAAAATGTCCAAAAGTTAAAACAATTCTTACAGAAACACAGAACGTGTCCCAAGATCACGGGCTCCCACAGGCTGGCGGGACTCGGGGAGAACGTGAGATCTGAGCTCAACGCAGAAAGAAACCCTGGACCCTCAGGGGCCCAACCGGGCAGAGATGCACCCGGGCGCCGTGGCCTTTGGGGCCGTCCTTTCGCTAGACAGACTGCGTGCATGACCCGATGTCCGGGGCCGGGCAGACCTAGGTTGTCAGACGCAGTCAGCTCTGCTTCCTTCGGCTGCACATTCGGCAAGAAGGACACATTAGCAGGGCACGAATTCTGTTTCTGTTCGGTGGGCTGTGGTTTCCACCATGACAAACACCAGGCAAACACACGGGATATGCACATGCCACGCACATGCATGCACGCGCACCCATGCATGTACACGCAATGCGCACACGCACGCGCACTCACGCAGACGCACCCGCACACACGTACACGCAATGCGCACACGCACGCACGCACACACACGTACGCGCAGACGCACAC